GATCTTAGAGGGCTTTTCCAACCGAGCGATTTCTGTGATTCTGTGTGATATAATTGCTGTTCCATCTTAAATGTGCCTTGTAATTAATGCTCCTGGCCAAATCCTGCCAGGTGCTGAACATTTTCAGCTCCTGTGTTTGTGCCCTGATGAGAATTAGCATTTTGCTTGTTCATGTCAGGAGTCTGCTGTAGAGGGAGCCAAATTTCTGTCCTGGAGGTCGTGAGAGAGGTGAATTAGGAAGTGGCGGGGGTGGGAAGGAAAAGCACTTCCCTCCTTAAGCACCACCCAGCTCTTCACAAGAAAACTGTGTGTGAATACAATCGGCAGCGATGAGATCCAGAGTCCAAATAAGACAGGAAACTGACAGAGTTAAACACGTGCAGGCATTTCCTGTGTGCTGCTGGAGGAATAAAAGCAAAGCACAGGGGTTTTTTTTGGTGTACTGACATTATATTTCTGTGTTGTAGCTCCCAGCAGTGGCAGAGTTCTCCACCAGCGAGACCATGGGGCACTCGGCCGATCGCTTGGCTGCTGCCTTTGCCGTTTCCCGACTGGAGCAGGACGAGTACGCCCTCCGCTCACACACGCTGGCCAAGAAAGCCCAGGATGGAGGCTTGCTGGCCGATGTGGTGCCCTTCAAAGTGCCAGGTAAAAGTGCACGTTCAAGAAAGAAATGTTTTATTTATTGCAATGTGCCCTTGAGCCAAGAAGGCCAAGGCCATCCTGGGCTGGATGAGAAGGGGTGGTTGTAGGGCAGAGAGGTTCTCTTGCCCCTCTGCTCTGCCCTGCTCACACCACAGCTGCAATCTTGTGTCCAGTGCTGGGCCCTCAGCTCAAGAAGGACAGGAACTGCTTGAAAGAGTCCAGCAGGGCCACAAAAATGAGGTGTGGATCCGGCAGCAATGGTGAGACAGTGGCCTTGCCGTGTTTCCTCACCATACAAGCGCTATCACTTGGAGAAGTGACCACTGTGGAGCATCTCGTGCTGAGGAGCGGCTGAGGGAGCTGGGGCTCTTGAGCTTGGAGCAGAGGAGGCTGAGGGGGGCCCTCATTCCTGGGGATCCATTTGGAAAGGGCGAGTGTCAGGAGGAAGGAGCCAGGCTCTGCTGTGGGATGTCCAATGGCAGGACAAGGGGCAATGGGCCCAAGCTGGAGCACAGGAGGGTCAAGCTGCAGATGAGGCCAAAGTTTGTGAGTGTGAGGGTTCTGGAGCATGGCCCAGGCTGCCCAGAGAGGTTGTGGAGTCTCCTTGTGTGGAGACACCCAAAGCCCTGGCCGTGTTCCTGTGTGACTGCTCTGGTGATCCTGCTCTGGGGGGGTTGCACTGGGGGAGCTTTCCAGGTCCTTTCCAACTCCTGACATCCTGTGATTTAGAAAACGAGGGAAAGCACTGGGCTCAGATTTGTGATGTTCTGTGCATCTGATGGAGATTTTAACTCTTTGAAATGCCACCTGTTTCTCCCTGGAAAACTGCCATAGGAGCATTATTTCTAAACATTCCTATCTAAATACACAAACATATCCTTAGGTATCTAAATTTTGTCCTGTCTGTGCTAATGTGCTGACAGAGAAGGAAAATCAGACCCATTGGACCAAGAATCCCCCTGCTTTTTCCGTCAAGCAAGAGAACCCATTTTTATACCCCAATAACTTGTTGTTAATGAGAACAAATAGAAAGCTTGATAAAATACTGATCTGATAAATCAGGTGCTGGATAGGAAGAGCTGAAATGGGATCCCCTTGGTAGACTCCTGTTCACGAGGCCTCACAGTCGTTGCTTGGATAGGAAACATTTTGGGGAGAAACCTTCAGAAAGTGCCCTTTCTGTGGCCTGCTTTCCACCCCCAGCAGCCAGTGGGCGCGTTCTGGTGTGATACCAAAATTTTGGGCACCTTTGCTCCTTACTTAGTTTCCTGGAGAGGCCTTGCTGGTGTAGATCCACAGATACCTATGGTTTTTATACTGAAATCAGTACTTTTTGTTAACTGCCTTATTTAAGCAGTTGGTGTAGCTGAAGTTGCGTGTATTTGGTCCTTCCCAGTGCTCTTATTTCCTCAAAACTCCTCAAATCAGTCTACATAAACCTACTGATTTAGGCCCAGTTCTCCAATTTTGGCTTTACAATCTGAATTTCAGTTCTTTTTATCAACTGGGCTTTCTATGCCGTTGCTTTTTCTTACAGTAAATGGATGCAGCGCTTCATCTTTGCAGTCTTCAGAAGGAAAATAACACAGCTTCAATTTTCAAGTGCTTTTTTTTTTTAGCCATGTGAAGTCTCCTGACAACATGAATGGATTTTTCCCCTTGTTCTTCCTCCCACTTGCCATAAAAAGCACTTTTCTGGTGAATTTTTTTTCTCCCCATTACTCCTGATGTGCAAATTCACGTCCGTTGCTGACTTTTTAGTTTGAATATGTGGTTTCTTTTCCATCACCAGGCAAAGATACGGTTACCAAAGACAACGGGATCCGTCCGTCCTCCATGGAGCAGATGGGGAAGCTGAAGCCGGCTTTTGTCAAGCCCTATGGCACTGTCACCGCTGCCAACTCCTCCTTCCTGGTAAGGCACCTTCCCATGAAAACTTCCTGCTTTACCCTCTGCCTCCTGTAGACACACAAATCCAAATCCGGGTGTTCTCTGTGGGAATGAGTTGTTGGTATCAACTGCTTTGGGACTTTTCAAGGGTAACTTGCAACTGTGATATAATCTGGTGAACCTGGGTACTGGATTATTTCATTTTGAAGTGGAGAGCTGAACCCTTGAAGGGTTTTTGGGCTCTCTTACCTCATTGACCTTCAAGAGGCAGCTACAGAAAAACACAGAGAGTTGATCATACAAAGGCACAAAGAGAAATTCTTTCCCAGCATGGGATTGATCATGTTGTAAGTTTAGAATTGAATAGTTTCAGGCTAAATTTGTCCTGTAATTCACAGAGAGGAAGGAGAGATTTCTCTAGCACATCTGTGCCAAACTGTCTTCTGCACGTGCTCCTTTTTCTCTTTAGTGCTTTTAAAGCATTTGAACTGGGCCCCTCAGCTCAAGGAGGACAGGAACTGCTTGAAAGAGTCCAGCAGGGCCACAAAGATGCTGGAGGGAGTGGAGCATCTCCTGCTGAGGAGCAGCTGAGGGAGCTGGGGCTCTTGAGCTTGGAGCAGAGGAGACTGAGGGGTGCCCTCATTCCTGGGGATCCATTGGGAAAGGGCAGTGTCAGGAGGAAGGAGCCAGGCTCTGCTCTGGGATGGCCAATGGCAGGGCAAGGGGCAATGGTCCCAAGCTGGAGCACAGGAGGTTCAAGCTGCAGATGAGGCCAAAGTTTGTGAGTGTGAGGGTTCTGGAGCATGGCCCAGGCTGCCCAGAGAGGTTGTGGAGTGTCCTTGTGTGGAGACACCCAAAGCCCTGGCCATGTTCCTGTGTGACTGCTCTGGTGATCCTGCTGTGGGGGGGTTGCACTGGGGGAGCTTTCCAGGTCCCTTCCAACTCCTGATACTCTGTGATGCTGTAAAGGAAGCTTTTTTAGATGCTGAGGTCTAAGGTGTTTGTGTAAATGAGGTGAGGTGTATCTGAGCCCCAGTGGAAGGGGATTGCCACTGACAGCTCCTGCAAAGGGCTCGTGGTGACTCTCGTGTCCCTGCACGCAGCCCTGACAGGTTCTTGGTGTTTCAAAGACTGCTTCACTGTTTGTGATGAGCACTTTGAGGGAAGTAAGTACCTACTGCTGGGGCTTTCAGCTGCAATGATATTTACTCCTTAGCATTCTTTGGGGAGTTAACAAAAGCTTGGTAATGCCAGAGCCTTCGTGTTAGGAGCAGCTCAAACACTGCTCTCAGAAATGAACTCTCACGTGCCCTGATGTTCATTTTGGCAACATGGCGAGGCTGTGGCTCGTGTCATCCCCGAATTTCGAGTGGACAGGTGAGTGAGTGGGGTAACCAGGTGGTCTTCAGGACTGGCAGAGCTTTAGGTGTTTGAAACCAGGGGTAGCTGTGGGTCTGGACTGCATGGAAACACCTCAGCAGTGTGTGTGCTGGCGTCATTTACAGATCATCCATCCATCAGCTCGGTTGTGCAGGCTTGTTCTCTGTCCTCTATCACCAGGAGAGGTCCTGGAAGCTCTGGTGGTCTCTGCTGTTCAGGCAGTCACCTCACGGGCTCTGTCTCCCTGTTGCAGACCGATGGTGCTTCGGCGATGCTGCTCATGTCTGAGGAGAAGGCTCTGGCAATGGGATACAAACCAAAGGCCTACCTAAGGTAACAAAGATGCTGCTCCACGTGGCCTCCGGAGTCTGCTTGTGCTTCCTTCTGCTCCTGTTTGTTACTAACAGCGTCTCTCCTGTGCAGGGACTTTGTGTACGTGTCCCAGGATCCGAAGGACCAACTGCTGCTGGGGTAGGTGGTGACGATCGAGAGCATCCCCTAACAGCCTGCCCCAGCATAGCAACCCTGACGTGGCATGACACGTTTGGTTTTAGTTTGGGCAGTATTTCATGAGATATTACATCTGTCTGGGCCTTCCTCTGAAGGTGTGACTCAGAATCACCCACCCTGATGTGCTGGGGGCATCTCGGCGTGTTGGTACTCGCAGTAGTAGTTACTCAGGGCTGTGTTTTGGCTGGGTGAGGACAGGCAGAGGGCTGCACCCCAGCGGGAAGGAATGTTAACGTGGGACGATGGTGTGAGGAAACTTATCCACGCAAGACTTGTGTTTCTTAACCCTTCTGCAGCCCAACTTACGCTACTCCCAAAGTGCTGGAGAAGGCTGGGCTGACCATGGCCGATATCGACGTCTTTGAGTTCCACGAAGCCTTTGCTGTGAGTACCGTGACCACCAGGGATGCCTCTTCACTGCAAAATGCCAGGCTGTCGGCAGCTGGTTTTGTGTTGGTGAAGACCTTCATAAGTGTAGATAATTCTCTGTTTATGTCTAAACATAAGTACTGTATTTATTTTAAATATAAAACGTTTCTCCGTTGGCACAGTCCATGCTGGGAGTGGCTTATGTGGCGTGAAGCCACCAAATACAAATTATTCTAAAATAATATGTAAAAAAAGAAGTAAAAATCTTACTTTTCCCAAGGCCCTTGTATGAAAGAAACCACTTCTGCACGTCATCTATTAATTGGGGTGATGTATTCCTGCGGTGACGTGACCTATAAACTGCTCAGCATCCTTTTCCAGCTAAGGTTGAGCTCATGGTGATTAATGGGGCTGATCCTTTAAAGTGCTTCTTTCAGTCTTAGTTTTGTGGCTGTGGTCTCAATTTCTCTCCTGATTTCCAGCACTGTCCATAGGCTTCTCTCAAAGCCTGCCCTGATGTTGTTAACGTTGCCCTCCCTCCCTTTCAGGGGCAGATTTTGGCTAACCTGAAGGCTATGGATTCGGACTGGTTTGCACAGAACTACATGGGCAGAAAGTCAAAGGTAAGACACGGTCAGGATGCTTTTTAGCTTAAATTTAGGATTAATTGAATTCGTCATTGCGGTGGGGTGTGCCAGTGCTGCAAAGCAGGGCTTTGGTTATGTTCTGTGAGGAGAAGCAATCACAGCATCATTTGGTTGGAAAAGACCTTCAAGATCATTGAATCCAACCATGCCCTGTCCCCCACCAAACCACGTCCTCAAGTGCCACATCCACACGGTTTGTGAACCCCTCCAGGGATGGGGACTCCACCACTGCCCTGGGCAGCCCCTGCCAGGCCCTGAGAACCCTCTGGGGAAGAAATTTTTCCTAATATTAAATGTAAACCTCCCTTGGCACACCTTGAGGCCATTTCTAGATGATCTTTAGAGGTCACTTCCAACCCAATACATTCTATGACTTCCTCTCATCCCATGGCTTGTTGTGGGGAGCAGAGCCCGACCGCCCCTCGCTACCCCCTCCTTTCAGGAGCTGCAGAGGGGATAAGGTCTCCCCTCAGCTCCTCTTCTCCACTTGAACCCCTCAGCTCCCTCATTGCTCCCCATCATTCGGCTGCTCCAGACCCCTCCCCACGTTTCCTGAGCTCTGGGTTAGCACATCCCAGGGTGAGCAATGCTGTTCCCCTTGCCAGCAGAAGGTGGAGACCCAGAGCCATAACAGTGATAGTTGAAGAGAGGGGGAATTAAAGGCAGTGCTGTGCTGTGATGAGCAGCCCAAGCCATCTCCTTCCACACCGGTGATGCTCATGTCCCTCTGTGTTTTCGCAGGTCGGAGCCCCTCCTCTGGACAAGTTCAATACCTGGGGGGGGTCCCTGTCGCTGGGCCACCCCTTCGGTGCCACCGGCTGCCGCCTGGGAATCACTGCAGCCCAACGGGTGAAGGAAGAAGGAGGGCGGGCAGTACGGCCTGGTCGCGGCCTGCGCTGCGGGAGGGCAGGTAATGGTGCTGGGAGGCTGGCACGGGGGTATCTCCGTACAGGGAAATGCTGTCTGGTTACCCCAGGCGTGGGGCAGGGGGTGTTTGTGGTGCTCCCCAGCTTGGCTCCTGCCTCTATAGCGTGATCGTTGGGCTCCTTACACCCCCTCCTGCCCATCTCCAAACCATCCCTGGGCACTGCCCATAGGATACAAAACGGGAGGAAGGATTTCTGCCGTGCTCTGAGGTTTTCATGTGTGGTTTGTGAGTGTTTTTCTGCCAGTTTTAGGAAGAAAGAGCTTTACAGGAAAGATGCAGTGAGGCTCTGCAGCTCTGGAGGTTCAGGCTGGTGGCAGTTCCATGGGGACCCAGCACCGCTGTCCCTCTGCGGCCTCAGGACATCGTCTCCTCCCCAAATTCCTCATTTAGGCTCTGAGGAGAGCCCAATGCTTTGGTCAGGGTGGACTCTGCTGCCTGGAGCACATCTGTGCTGTCCCAAAGCCACCAAACCACCACGAGCAGAGTCCTGCGAGTGAATTGGCCCTGGATTTAGCATCACAGAATCACTGAGGTTGAAGAAGCCCTCTCAGATCATCCAGTCCAACCTCAACCCAACCCCACCGTGGCCACCAAACCACGTCCCCAAGTGCCACATCCACGCCGTTTTTGAACCCCTCCAGGGATTTTAAGCCAGGCAGGAAATGGGCATCTCCTGCTGAGCCTGTGTCTGTAATAATTAGGTTTTTTGTGACCGTTTCTCTCTCTTTTTCCAGGGGCACGCGATGATCGTGGAGCTGTACCCTCAGTAAGGGGATGGAGAGGTGCGTTCACCCGTCCTGTGCCTGGCAATGCCATTTCAATGCACTCATGAAAACATAGATATGATCCTTCTCGGAAAGGATTTCTCGTGGCCTTTGTAAATACCTTTTTAGCTGCTCAGCTGGTAATTTTCAACTAATGAACACGCTCTGAGAAATAATCCGCTTCCAGGAGAGTCAAAGTTAATGTAAAGTTAAAGTTAAATCTCTCCTGGGTCCTCGTAACCTGTCTCATTTCTACTGCAACTCTTCAAGAAGCAGACGAATGATCCCAGAGCTGTGTATGGAGAATTAAATTTGGAGATGAGGAGGATGTGAAGTTCCGGAGGTCGATGGGCTGAGATGTGAATGGAGGAGTAACGGCTGGGTTCAGAAATGCCTTACCTGGTTTGTGAGGAGGAGTTTTGCCGCACGATGTCCAAATGCCGTCAGAAGGGACAAATTGCCTCTTACAAATGAGCATCACTGATGTTAGCCACAATAAACCAGGAAAAAAATCTAAGTCTGGGTATTTTTCCTCCCCTTTTCCTTGCCTGAAGGGTGTTTTGGGATGGTTTGGGTGGTGCTTCCTGAAACCTGCCCGGAGCACCAATGAATCATCAACATAACACGCACTTTTGGGGCTGTTTTGGTAACTCTTGCTTCTCTGTGGTACCCTGAGGTTTGAAATTTAGAAGTGGAGGCAGGGGAGTGCTCAATCGTGAAGTCACTGATGAAGCGTGCAGATTTGTGAGCCTTCTCTTTTGCTTGAAAGAGTCCGGCAGGGCCACAGAGATGAGGTGTGGATCCGGCAGCCATGGTGAGACAGTGGCCTTGCCATGTTTCCTTACCATACAAGCGCTATCACTTGGAGAAGTGACCACTGTGGACCATCTCCTGCTGAGGAGCGGCTGAGGGAGCTGGGGCTCTTGAGCTTGGAGCAGAGGAGCCTGAGGGGTGCCCTCATTCCTGGGGATCCATTTGGAAAGGGCAGTGTCAGGAGGAAGGAGCCAGGCTCTGCTCTGGGCTGTCCAATGGCAGGACAAGGGGCAATGGTCCCAAGCTGGAGCACAGGAGGTTCAAGCTGCAGATGAGGCCAAAGTTTGTGAGTGTGAGGGTTCTGGAGCATGGCCCAGGCTGCCCAGAGAGGTTGTGGAGTGTCCTTGTGTGGAGACACCCAAAGCCCTGGCCATGTTCCTGTGTGACTGCTCTGGTGATCCTGCTGTGGGGGGGTTGCACTGGGGGAGCTTTCCAGGTCCCTTCCAACTCCTCATATTCTGTGATTCTCCCAAGATTTTGGGAAGATGAGAGGTTGCTCTTCCCCTTTTAGTTAACATTTTGTGTTACTTTCCTTGCTGGTCTCTCCATGCCTTTGTTACTCCCATCTGTTAACTATGATTCTTCTAAAAACCCTGCAAAACCCAAGTCCTTGCTATGAAAGCGACAGCTCGGGAGGCTGACCCCGATAAGGGAGGGCTGCGGTGTGGGGTGGTTCTTGTTTGCTTGTGCAAGGCTGCAGCCCTGCGCCCACGGGAGCCCTGCATGGGGCGAGGCTGCGGCCGTGGGGGAGAACCATGGGGAACCCGTTCTGGTCTCCCAGTTCCCCCGTGGATAATTTTCCCAGTTACTTGGGGGATTTCATTGGGATCTGGGGGTGGCAGAGCGGGGCCGTGGGCTGTTGCAAGCCGGGGCTGGGTCCCTACATGCTCAGAGGGGCAGGGCTGCAGCCTTTTGGGATGTGACTCATCCTGGAGGCTCATCCGGCTCCTCCTGCCTGTGCCTCTGCCACGTCCCTGCCAGGACCTTCGCCATCATCATCCTCAGGGGCTCATCCTGCTCCTCCTGCCAGGACCTCTGTCATATCCCTGCCAGGACCCTCACCATCATCATCCTAAGGGGCTCATCCTGTTCTTCCTTCCAGGACCTTTACCATCATCATCCTCAGGGGCTCAAAGTGCTCCTCCTGCTGGTACCTCTGTCATATCCCTGCCAGGACCTTCGCCATCATCATTCTAAGGGGCTCATCCTGCTCCTCCTGCCAGGACCTTCACCATCATCATCCTCAGGGGCTCCTCCTGCTCCGGTCCATCTCATTCCTGTCTGCATGGGGAAGGTGCTGGGGGCAGAGGAGGTGGGAGACAGAGGAGCCTTTGCAGAGCTCCCCACATGGATGGAGCTTTGCTCTCCTCTCACCCTTGGCTCCCCAAAATGCTGGGGATCCCCTCTCAGCCCGGAGGTGCCGTTTTCAGGGGGACACTGGGGACGTGCACGGGGCTGTGCCTGCAGAGGCAGGGCGGGGGCAAAGGTTTACGGCTGGACTCCATGATCCCAAAGGTCTTTTCCAACCCCGGTGACTCTGATCCCTTTGCCCTCCAGGTGCTCGGCACCGACCCGAGGTGTGAGGAGGATG